TTGACCTGGACCATTCTTGTTCTTCTAAAAGAGATTTACTGGCTTTACCGTTCACATGCTTGCTTGAGGTTTTGTAGTTGGACCGTTCGTCGTAGTGTTCTCGATTTCTAACACTGAATCAACATAAATACTGATTTCTCTACTAAAAGAACAAAGTCTGCTATAGAAGAAGAGTGATTCAGTATCTTGTCCACTAAGCATTATTGAAAGTAGTGAAGTAAGACAGTGCTAATGGTGATGTTTGAAAACAAAATGAACTTCCCAATTTAAAAGCCAAACTCCGTTGCTTACATTATATACGATATAATAAGGAAGAAAATGAGGAGTATCGCGATGCCCAATAAACACCCGAGAACAATGGTCCATACACGGAATGCTGATGATACACCCTAAAGACCTTTGTTAATAATAAGTTTGTTTAAAGTGCATTTGATGTAAAGTAAAGCCGCACTATGTACTGTATCGGAATCGTGTTCATGCACGTTCCATTGAAGTTGCCATTTGTGGCGCACAGCTGACACTGCACAACCTGAAATAATAATGCTTTTATTATTCTTGTTAATCCTACTGTTATTTTAATGGCTATCACGGTATTGATGTTGTGTCGTTAAGAGTACCTTCCAACGGTTTACATCGTGGATGGCAGGTGTTCCTGGGTGTCGGTTTGCGATATACAACGGGTGATTCATTCCTTGGCATGGTCTCTCCGAAAGAGTCCGGCGTTTCCATCGGGAAGCCTAGCTAAGAGTAAACCAATATCAGGATCCACCACCGTCCTGGTATCGGGGTCGCATGGTGGCAGGTCTCCTTCTGATCCACAAGAGCTGAGACTGCCTGTCGTAGTGACGATCTGGGGCAGACTTTGGCCAGACTGCCCCAGGGATTCCAAGGAACCACAATGGTTTAACTAGTAAATCTCCGAAAAATGGTGGCTATGCTGGGGCGCACAATCAGTGAGGATGAACCGTTCGAGTAAGTAAGTATTAAGAGTAACGCTGAGTAGGTTTCGTTAAATAAAATTAAGAATAATGAAAGTTTTCATCACTTCTCATTACTAGCGTCTAGATAAGCTGTCATGGAGAGTGGTTTCCAAAATTGTGGGTGCAGTGGGAAGAAAAAATACAATAGACAGCTAGAATTACTCAGTGGAATACTTTCTTTTGAGATGAGAACATACATTTCCGATAATTTAATTCCTAATCGCGACTAAAAGTAGAATGTATTCCTGATTAACCAACTGCGATGCATAGCAAAAGTACGAGACTTATTTTCCAAATTGGTCTTTTATGGACAGAAATAGTTCATTATTTCAACACAGAGTCCCAGGTTAGAGTAGATGGCAGAAGTCACCGTCTCAGTAGTAGAAATGTGATCGCATGGAATCAAACTTCTTTCCATATCACGAGCTAGTGACATTATGAGTGACGACTAAAGAGGAAAGCCATAGCAAGACAATTGAAGAAAAAAAATCTTACCTGACAGGGAGATTAGTAATTAAACTGAAACAATGAAGACGTAGCATTCAAAGAAGTATTCCAGTATAGAGATTTGAATGATTGAAGTGAGAAACATTACAATGGTTAACTTATCTCACTGCCTATTCCTTTTTCATGGTGGGAAATTGCGTGAAACACAACAACAAAGATACTGAGATCTTATCGAAACTGGGAATCTCTGGTGGGTTTCGATTACGATCACCAGGAACTGTTATTTATCCTACAAATCAACCGAGATTCATGCCTTATTATTGTGATTTCGAATGCAGACTTTGTTTAACTCGGTTCACTAACGATCTATGCCATCCCCTCCGCTCCCAAATTCGTCGACGGGTGGTTGCTAATAGCAGTGACAGAGTGAAAAGTAGGCTGAGAGAAAGGCAAACCAAGGGTCTCGGTTAATGTGGTGGATAACACGTGATTACTAGAGAAGGGCAATCGCGAGTTCAAAGCTCGACTTAAATACCGAATTTCACTCATCTTTCAGCACCCTTGTGGTTGTATTCTATATAACACTATGAAAAGAATACGCTATAAAAAAATTAAACATTGTGGTTTCGACTGCCGCTTCAGCTTCACTGGGTTCAATGTCGATCTGCGCTCCGCAGATTATTCTCGTTGACGGGTGGCCGTTGATAACATTGCTGGAGTAAAAAGTGGCCGACAGAAGGGCAAAACACGGATGTCGGCTGATGTGTTGGATAGCATGTGAGCCCCCGAAAGGGTGATCGTGGGTTTAAAGCCCAACTGGAGTAGCTAGCTTTGCTCATTTCTTAGCATCCTTGTGGTTAACAGATATTACGTTTAGCGGAAATTGACGCCGGATTTCAAGCTCGATTTTTCTTGTCCATGCTTTAGCAATGATTTTGTCTCGAGTACTGTTATTATTAGAGCTAAAATGCAAATTGCTCTTTTGGCAGATTTCAGAGTTTTGAATTCCTGGTGCCAAAGCGGTAATTTCGACAGATCTACTTCTACAACTTTAAATTAGATATACTCAGCGCAAACTGCTCGAAGCATTAATGCAGTGTGATGTTGAGGAATTGTTAACGAAAGCATCGTGGTTTAGACTATTTCAGAGTGTGGAATTCAGCACTGATAATGAGGAATATCGCAGATTTTTTCCTGTTATTTTAGGCAAAGAATTGAAGGCTTTGTACAGGCAGATACAAGCACAACTCCCTGGCAACTTGCTAAAAAACTTTGCCTAAACTTCTCAACTGTTCCAGAGCGTCTAAAGTAATATCATAAGATCGAACAAGCTCAAGAAATGATTGGCACAAAAATCAAACAACACTCAAAGAAGTCGCCGTTTTGAAGTATCGTCGGCGCTTCCACAGCAGCGACCAGAACGAACCATTTCTCGAACGCATTGTGATGAGGAATAGATTCTCTATGTAACCGGAGAAGATCAGCTCAGTGGTTAGACCAAGATGAAGCTTCACCGCTTCTGACGTCCGAAATTGCATCAAAAGGAGGTCATATCACCACTTCTTGTAGCATCTCGATAACAAGCTCTGCGGGAAATGATTGAAAAATCGAGCCGAGTCCGAAACTGCCTAGAACGATCACGTCTCCTCTTGACTACTAGGATTTTGAGCAACCGGTGTAGGTAGACTTATCTCCCATTGGCACAGATTGTAAAATTTAACTCTTTTATTTCAAATAATAAAGTCTGTTCTGTAATAGGATCTCCAACTTTGAAAATGAAGATTGAAATCGAACATTAACTTCTGCAGAATCATCTCCTTAAACACGTAGCACGCTTTACACTGGAGTGGATTTTTCATTGGTAGAAAACTAGGCATTTTCTTAGATTAAAAGCGTCTATTACAAACCTGAGAAGTGTAGCTGTTGTAGGTACAGTTGAAATAATCTCCTGTTCGATTATTCGAGCAAATGGCATAGTTATTCGTGGTGTAGGTCGAAGGGATGTTACACGATAAGTCGCACATATCACCCATCATCCCGTTTATACACTGGATATTCAAGATGAGTTGAAGCCTAAAAGATCATTATATTAAATGATATCACTATACATGCTTTAAGTTATTTTTATATATAACTGCAGCAAGCTGTCAATTTCTAACACTCTGATTTCGTCCCGCCAAAATTATGAGCGGTCAGGATTCCTGCTGGCCGATCTACGATCCACTGGGTCCTTGCGGTCTACACTATTTGAAAAGGCAAGCCAGAGATCGAAAATCAAGCAAATTTATTACCTATGATATCCCAAAGCTCTTCCAATCCACAGATCGTAGTCATGGTCTATTTCTTCCAATTTGCTTCCCCAATGTTCACTTGTACTTCATCTTCATATTTATTTTCTTTTGTTTGAGGGATTCTATTCAGAACATGAGAGGGTATCGGTAGCTGCTGTGGAAGCACTGACGATACTTCAAAATGGCGACTTCTTTGAGTGTTGTTTGATTTTTGTGCCAATCATTTCTTGAGCTTGTTCGATCTTATGATATTCTGCGATATTCTTATGATACAGCTCCGATCTGCGTCAACGATCAAGGATCTAAGACTCTGTTCTATACCGTTTAAGTATTTAAAAATTTACTCTTTAAGCGAATTCCAAGAAAAAAATTTTCGAGGAAAGTTGCATGTGTACATTTGCACCTTTATAACGATAGAGATGTCTCTTCTACAATTTAGCAAACTTCTTCGCTTGTACCATCCATCTGTCGCCCCTTTGAGAGTCGAGTGACTCAAGCTGTCGCCAATAAACCTTCCATTTCTCCTTATTGCGTGTAAGAGTAGCTCAGTGATTTTTATTCGCTCTAAAAATTTGTTGGGCAACATATCCTCTGCTAAAGGTTTTCGTGAAGAACCCTGACCAATGAGTCGGTGGTCTTCCTACCTTGCTTTCGATAGGCTGGAAATTCAATCATTAACGCTTCTTGTCTAACAGTTATCGTTCATAGACATTTCGTGCCTGACCCACTTTAACTTCGAAAATATGAGGTATAGTCTTAGATCCTTGATCGTTGACGCGGATCGGAGCTTCCGATACTCTCTATCGCTTGCACGCATGATACAGGATACTCGTAACATCGCCCTTTCGACTGCGTGTTCGATAACGCCAGGAGATTTCCCACCCACTTTACGTGGTCAACATGATTTTCACATGCATGTTGAGGCAAAAAAAAGTAAATGGTGGAATCGAAAAGATGGGCAATGGTTCAGGTGCTCCTTGTTCACCTCACTACACCCTCGATGCACTTGGTAGTTCCGCAAGCCTCTCGCTTCTTCCTGCTCAACTCTGGAGCTAAATCATTTCGTCATGCTATCTTTCCGGCCTAGATAAACGTAGCTGGAGATTTGAAGATATTCATTTCTCTTAGCGGGAATGGGGCATAAGAAGCCAATCCGTTCTTCATGAAAGCTGCTTTTATTAGATTTAGTCGAAAACCAACTTTCCATAACTGTTATGGAAATCGGCTTGCATCGATCCGATTGCTTGGTGCTATAAGAACGATTTCGTTAGCAAAGAAAAGGTCGTGGAATTGCCGTTAACCGATTTCCACTCTCACGTTGACCCATTACAAAGTATGCACGAAATTTTGGAGGGTTGCAAAAAATAATTTCGGCGAGATGGTATCGCTTCCCTAACCTCTCCTCTGATGTCGAACCGTCATAGAATGGTGATATTTTAGTTGTCAGACTTTTCTGTTCCATATTGGTATACCAGCTTGAGTGTTTCTGAAGACAGATGTCTCTTGGTGACCTTCAACTTTCAGCATTAACAGCGCTAACGTGAAGATGTTGAATGAGCCGAGCATATTCCTCGTCGATGTTGCCAAGAACGAAATCCCAGTAGGAGCCAACTGACGAACTGAATAAATCTCAGTTTATGGTGGTTTTCAGACCTCCTTTTTCAAAATTAGCAGTTTCGTCTTATTTTCGCGAAAAACGAAGTCTTCCGTGAAGGAGGCGATGGTTCCATCTCGTGTGGAATTTTGGGAAAACAACGATATTTAGGCAAAACCTTCGTCCTTGTGGGATATTTCGTTAGGGTGGTCTGCATTAGGCGGCTCCCACAGTCAGCGTTGAGAGCGCGGCTTCCGGAACTGTGAACTACTATGAAAGGTTTTGAAAGTTATAATAAACGCAAATGGCAACCCCGCCTGCTCGTTCCATTCTAATTCAAGTGTCCCAATGTGATGCCCCTTAGGCGTCCTTCTGCGTCCAATCCTAGCGTTGATGTATCCAATGATGTCCTTAAAGAATGCATGGTCTTCTCTGTAGAACTTCTCCAAATCCATAAAGAACTCTTCAATTTCGCCTTCGTCATAGCTTGATGTCAGTGTGTAGACGAGGAAGATTGTTAAAGTCGATATTGATCCACATCGCTTCAACCATAAACGTACAATTTGGGTTAGTTCGAATGAATCGATGCTTGTGGCCAAATTCGCGTTCACGTAGACGCACTTGCTGCCAACTCTATTGTCGCATGTTCCGTGGAATAGTTCCTTTCCGGTGTCATAGACCGCACTGAAAGGACGGTATCTTCTCGTTTCAAGTAATCCGATGACGTCGTACCTCATCTTTGTTGCGTAACGGATCAAGTTTTCCACAGAGGACTCAAATGCTGGTGAGCATGTGTCGTAGGTACAGATCGTCATCTTAGTCCTTCGAGATTCATACATTCTAGAAGGGCCCTGAGATTTCAGTAACCTTTCCTCACTTGACCTATCTAAAACTACCGCATCAGGGGTTTTTCGGGGTTAGGAGGATGAGGTTCTCTTATTTTGTCGTATTTGATATTTGATGGACATGTATAGCCTACTGAGCCCTGAACTTGGGAGTTCAGTATGCTCAAGGGTAACAAATTGATGACTCTCCAAGAGCGCGCGAGGAGGTTATTTGTTAGCTGGGACTCTCAATCGCCTCCCGTATACTTTCCTGTCACTTGATCGCAGGTGTTTGGTAGAATTTACTCGTAGAATACAATCCACATAAACGAGAGCACACACATGCAAACATGCGTGAAAATGTCTTTGTAAACACAGAAGTTATGTACCATTTGGGCTCGGCAAAAACAGGATACATTTCCTCTGTAGCACCTGTTTCTCACAGAAGCACATGGTCGCCTTTGGTCAGCGATTAACTCCCTAGACACTGCTTTCTCTTTCGAGTAACCAATGTGATATCGCTCAATGAGGGAGATCCGTGGACTGTACCTCTCAACTCCTTAAATTTTCCAGTTATTGAAAGAACCCGCATGGTAGCGAGCGTATTGAATTATGTTGTTTTACTACGAATTCTCTATTCGACCTAAAACAAAAGGCTCACATGGCTGGTTATGAAGTGAACTTAACATGAACTTATTCATCATGTCAAAATTACGCAGTAAATCAGAAAAAGGAAAGAAGAAGAATGAAAGAAAACACACTGTGTTCCTAACTGAAGTCCAACTAAAGACAACGACTGATCGCCACCGCCACTCTTCTTGAATAAGGACAAGTCGACAATAAATGAATCCACCTATATGAAGGCGTTTCGCTCGTTGTCCCACAACTAGGCAAAAGCTTCTTAAAATTCGCAAACCAGTGTAAGTTTTCCGAAGAACAGAAGATTTGCTGTCGCGCTGTCAATTGAAACTCCCAGATGTTGCACAAATATGTCAATAGAGACCTAAAGATATTTAGGCTAGGAGTTTAAATCATTTAGCTTACTTAGAAGCGGCTTTTGGCAAGACTCGTCCAATCAACGTTTCAATTTAATGGGAATGTTGTATTGACACCTATTGTAGACTTACTGGTTTGCTAATCATCTGGAACGAATGCGGATTTGTCCAGTTTCCAGTGGAAATTGATCCGAAGAAAGGATTGAAGTCCGATTGGATATACTGCACAGACTGACTGAATAGATAAAAATAAATTAACATTTTGAAATTTTCCCCAGCATGCTTCGCTGAAGACATTCCATTTAATCTGTATAGAACGTTTTTACTACTATTTATGCTCCACGTGGAGAACGCGCGTGCTAAAACGGGATTAGTATTCTAGCATAATTTTTAATGCAGACTTCATTACAAAGTTTGAAAACGTTACTCGTTTTTCAATACTATACACTTATTTTTTAGTTTCAATTCGCAGAATTGAGGATTCCAACTTTTCTTTCACTCATTACACTGCGTTGCACTCATAATCCAAAATGGTCTTTCGATTTACATGAGGGTTCGACAGCCAATTGAAAACGCTCTGTTTGGTATCATCAGAAACAGCATACGTTCGTGGATTGGAAGGACTCCTTTTCAGCCATGTCTGACACCGAGTTACCAATCGTGGAGAGAGGAGAGGCTTGTTTAGATCCTTGCATGATCATTCCACCTCTAGCCATTGCGTTTTTCTCCCTCATTACCAACTATGCAGTTTTACATATCTCTACAGATACAATTTTTATTTTTTTAACATTACCAAAATTACAAGCCGACGCTTAATCTTGAACTAAAACATGTCGTCACCTCCACATAACTTAAATTCGACTTGGAAGAAATTCATATTCTTCGTGATATATTAAGGTAATTTCCTCATTAGTGATTTGCATTCCTAGTTTTTGCTAAAATTCAGTGGTTTCTAGACCACGGACCATCTAAATCATCATATTGGAATATTATGGGAACAAAGACACCAGCCAAAGGCATTGATGCCTTCCAGTTGTTCTCCTAAACTATATCACAGGGAACATAATGACTTATTTATTATAGATGAAATATCTACTCACTAAGCTGACGAAATAACTGTAACGAAGCTGAATGAGCAGGCGTTCTGTTGATTCTGCGGCAAAAAGTCACAATATGCTATTGGACAACTGCAGGTGGTTGTATTGGATAGTGCCATAGTGGGATTCTGATATGAGGTTAGTCGAATCTGCACTTGGGCTCCGTTTACCGACTGGCCGTAAGCGATCTAAAAATGAACGAATGATTGGATTACTGTTAGAATATTGGCATTTCAGGTGAGTGATGATTTGACGAATACGAAAGTTTCCCAAAACAACAGAAAGCATGGAAGGTTAATTGTTAGTGAAGTACTTTTAACGTAGATATCCTTTAGCATAAAACAGGAACTACAAAGGTTTTTCTCTTCAGTTTGTATGTGTGAATTCTGACTTAAGGCTCTAACAAATAAATGGGAAATAAATAGCGTGTCATAAGCATTAATGAGCAATAAGAAAAAACTTCGAACCCGTGTTTACTTCTACTGAAACTACAGGATATAACACAAAAGAAGATGAATGCTCAACACGTGGACAAAGATCTATTCATCCAATTACAGCGGCAATAAACAGTCGATGAATAATTTAAGAAACTTCTTCGTACCAAGTAATTCTTGCCAACTGTAGTCGTTTGAAAATCATTGTAATTTGGCAGTTGCTATTCATTTACTCACTATTACTTACTTACTTGATACTTGAACGACCCGTACTCACTGGTTGTGCGGGCCTTAGCATAATATCCATTTTCGGTGATTTCAGGTTAAGTCATTGTGGTTTCCTGGACTCCTGAGGTCACCCTGGCAAAAGCCTGTCGCAGGTCTTCACCATCACAGGTAGTTGCAGCTTTTGTGGATCAAAGGAAGATTTGCCACTATGCGACTTTCATACCAGGACGGTGGTAGATCCTGGTATTGGTTTCCACTTAGCTAGGCTTCCTGATGGATACACCGGACTCCTTCTCAACTTGGGAGACCCTGCCAAGGGTATGAATCTAGCCGCTGTATATCGCAGTCCGACATCCAGGAACACCTCTCAGGCAACGATGAGGCGCTAAATCATTGGGAGGAGTTGCTATCTAGGTGGAAAAAATCTATGTCGCGCATCATTAATTGAACTAATAACAGTTATGTTTCAAAATCGACTTTCCTTTAACCTCGGTATGGCTAATTAATATGTATTCTTTCTTTGACAGGCTCACACGAGGTTGATAAATATTCTTCATTATCGGCTAACGTTACAACGGTTTCGTCTTCGTCAGAGCCGATGATCCGAGTCGATGGTCCACAGTTGTTCGTGTTCTCGAGGTTCCTCGGCTCTGATGAAGACGAAACCGTCGAAACATTAGCCGATAATGAAGAATATTTATCAACCTCGTGTAAGCTTATCAACGAAAAATACATGTTAGAAATAGCTAATTCCTCCACATCGACGACGACTGCAATTACTAGTTGAAAATAACACTTTTCAAAAACGGTGATGTAAGTGATAAAAACGAAAATTTAAGGTTGATTTACCAGTTTTGTCGGTGTGTTAACAACTGAGGAGCTTGAAGCAACCCGCTGTTGCTGTTGTGACTGCAATCGACCACGCTGAGAAAACTAGCACTAAGAGATTCATTACATGCAGTAATTTTTTCTATCATTCTCAACCAACCTGTTGACTAAATTGGTTTGCTGACCCACCATATTGCTGCTGATAGAGGTTTGACTGGCTGGAAAATATCATTTTCACTTGACTCGCTGCCGTTAAAGATTAAGGTTTCACTCACGGTGGTTCCCCTCGTAGTTGGCCGAGTTGTTGGTGCTGCTGCATTCCAGGTGGTTGTTGAACATAGAAGCTCCCTTGCTGATTTCCTTGATATGAATATCTGGAAAGCAACTAATAATTCTACAGGAGCTCAATCTTCAATATTTTCTGTGCTTTGTGAAACCATACTGTTCAAGATGCAAAAGTTCTTAATACAGTGTTATCCCTATTTTTGAAATAGCAGTGGTGTGAAGCCTCCAAATTGTTGACCACCTCATCATAGCTTGAGAATCTTTCTCGGTACTGAAGTACGGTCTGCGACAGGAAGTCCACATCTCTCCTCGCCGCTTTAGCAAGAATTATTGCAGTTCAGAACGAGTTTGACAGATCGAACCAGAAACCGAAATAAGAATAAACCACTGACAAGAATTCACACTATCCTGAGAGAACCCCGGCCGCAGTCCGCTGAAGCATTCCAATACGAAGGGCGAATGACCGTGATTGGACCACGTGAGCGTCATCGCGTGTGTGACCTGGGGCTCTAAAAGGAAACTGATGCCAAATCACTACTTAGATCCTTAGGCGGCACGTCCTCAGATGTATTGTGAACCCCTTCACAGCTTACTTTTGTATCGCTGTTTTACAACAACAATCCGTAGCACTGGCACGGTCGGTGTGAAGGATGATGTGGTTTGATTGCTTTTTGTTTTCTCGCATTTTCATGATGAATGTTAGCCCACGACGCTTTTTGTTGGGATCGCGAGATAATAATGCCAGGACACTCGCTTAGCCCCACATTGTCACCGGACTTTATAGGTTTGGGAACGATATGCTGACTTGCAATTACGTTCACTTCATGACAGCAGTGGTTACTTTGATCAGCCGACTAACCGACTGCAAACGCCGTAGAACGAAGAATAAACTAGCAGGTGCTACTTCTACTTAGTACTACTTAGGGAGAAAACTTGGCCTGACCACAGAGGCTTCCGAAAAAGTGGTATATTTATGTTAAGTACTCGAATGGTGCGAAATTTACACGACAGTTTAAGGTGGGATAATGATTTCAAACCCAGTTTTTCCCACTTGTGCGGCTACTGAAGTTGACTAAACAATTTAGCTGTGACATTGCTAGAATCTCCAGATGCCCATTCAAATGATAGCCGTTACATTTTAGTTACATCTAGGAAAACATAAATATTGTCGATCGAAAGCAATGAAGAAAAGAGATTTCGCTAAGTCAGTTATTACATAAAACTGGTGCAGTGAATTCAATTCGGAATCTTAGCTAGGATCATTGCGAAAAATGGCCACCACCATAGCTGAAACCTAGTGGAACTTTACATATCTCATTCGAATTCGAAAAAGCTGTTCACTTTCTTAAACTAAGGAAATACTGGCATGGTTATCTCAATATTCAAGAAAAAGACACTTGCATAGAAAAAGAAAGTATTCTGTCAAAAAAGGTGTTTGGACCCATACAACTCGCAACGTTGAAGCATCAACGAAACCAGGTTGGTAGATGGAGATGCAACATATGGTGTTTGACAAAAATGAATGCTTTAATTTACTAAACAAACTAAATATTTGTAAAATCAGGTGATAAACAAACCAATCACCTTATCACGATTGGAGAAAAGTGGTCATCCAATGCAAATTTATGGCAAAGATATTAATGAATCTATCACTAACCACACAGCAAGAATAAGTAACCCTCTAAGTATATGGTCAGGAGGTGATAGTATCACCGACAAAAGACATAACATGACGAATGACCTTGTGACAACATCGGGTCTCATATTAGTTTAATGTGATATAAATTGGTCCTATAAATTTGATACCAAGATAAGGTTCGTTTAATTTCTGGTGGAAACCATTGATATATGTTTTCAACATTCAAAACAGACTCAGTGAATTTTGTGGGGAAAAAGATCGATAACAGTGGCACAAAGAAGAATCTCACAAAAAATGAAACGAAGAGATTTCGAACCAGCGCAGTCGACCTACCGTTGTTGCGATTGTGGTGGTTGATATTGTTGAAACGATGAATGACATAGAAGAGGGAAGAGAAGAGAAAAAGCGTCGAGTGCACGCATCGTACAGTCTCACGCTACGACCACAAATACCTTATCGAACAAACAGCGCCTTCACCTTGTCGGGGGTGGGAGCTATGTCTCTACGTCTCTTCACGTTTTCTTATTCTGAAGCTTCGATGCCGTCGTTCCTTCTCACTCACAAAGGATGAGTCACACTCATCGACCACAACCTCTAGCTGCTAGATCCCTCGACAACGTGAATCACGTTTGCGATAAGTTCCTGACCCCATCTGATCTATCCATCCAAAATTTTCTGTAGGCAACTGCTAAAAATTCACTAACCTCGCATTGCATTTAATTTCATGCAGAAGGCACTTCTTCATCGCGCAATCAGAAGTGATGCATATTCGCTGATTTCCGGCCACGTTAGTGTATATTTTTGGGATCAGATAAATTTTTGTGAAATCTGCAGTATCCTGAAGGAAAACTAAAATTTTTCGGAGGAACAAAAGGCTGGAACATGGAGAGGAAAACCAAGTACGCGAAATTCAAAGCAGTGCTGAATATTTCAGTTGAAATTAATCTTCTACAGGTCTAAATTCGGTGTTTTAAATTCAGGAGTACACAAGACCGCTTGCAAAGACTATAACGTTTTTTCCATGACTCAAATCGAAATTGCGCAATAGATTAGGCAGGGGAATACAGTATTCCAGTTTCATTACCTTTACGAATTTCTATTACCTATCTCGTGTATGGAAAATTGTATTCACCACACTGAGTAACATTGTATTTGCTTCAAGGATTTCGTCGTCAAACAGCATATACTTGGTTTCCTTTTCATTCTGTCCAATCTTCAAAAATCGGTTGCTGAAAAGATTGAATGGAGAATAAATCCCGGAAACTACATGAAATAACTCCGCCAAAAACTTCGGCGTTACCACCCAATACTCGTCTTGAAGTTTCTCTTTTGATACTTTCAAAGAAATGTTGCTCATCAAAGTCAAACTTGTTAAGGATTTCATTGTTCCATAACAAAGCGAAGTACCACGTCACTCTTGACATGTTAGCACTTTCTAAATAACTATCCTACAGCTACTTATTATTAGACATTGGGTGGAAAACGCATTCAGAAGTTGACCACATGAAATCACTGTAGCAGAAAAAAGAGTATTAATGTCTAAACGGAAATACTTCGACTAACGCTGTGAATTATTGGGAACCACTCAATAATAATGTTCAGCGCAAGTTCAGGAAAAGTTATCTTTTTAAAAACATCTCACTACGACACTTTGATATATCGTAACAGAACGTAGCCATGTAGAACGTCAACGGCATCGCTTTACTGGATCGATGTCCGAGTTTGCGGTGCTCATGCGGTGTGTCAACACTGTGTATCGTCGTCACATATCAAGGCGCTAGCATACTGCTAATCTTCGCTTGACAAACAGTGCACTATAAATGTACGATCAACGCTGCCAGGGACACCGCTCTATACGGTCAAAAGCACAAACGAACCATCAACTTTAACGCTTAGATGGCAATTCCAGTACAGTCTTTTTTCCTACAATGCTCTCAGCTTACCTAAGGTTAATGCCCACAAATTATATGAAGAATTTAACTGAATATACGGATATATAAAATACATCGACAGGTCACCGTGAGTCTTTGTAAAGGCCAGATATGCATTCAATCGCCTCCAAACGATGCTTAATTAAGTCGAATGCATGGTGCATCACTCAGGTGTTGATCAACGCCGAGAGCTTTATCCTCTATCGTTTTATCGTTCACTGACATTTGTATAAAAAAGGCTAAATTCGTCAAGATGGAGCTGAACCTACAAGCAAATCTATGAATTTTCGTGGATTACGGAAGAGGGGAAACGAGTGAAGTCGAATGCAAAGAGTGCTCGTATCGGTATAGTATTTAATTCCAGGTCGTTTAAGACCACAAGGAATGTGATTAATAAAAGAAAATTAACACATACGGTTCTGTAAACGTCTTTGACATCTTTTTTGTGAGCGCTGCTCTCCGCAGCTATGTGCAATTTTTTAGCTTTATATATATATATAAAATATATATATGTATAAAGACTGACAATCAGCAAAGACAGTATCTATCATTTTTCTGACATCCATTTACAAGGCTCATTTACAATTATTTGCAAGCACAGTTAAAGTTTAAGGCCAGATAAGAATTGATTTCCACTTACACAGTGCGAAAGCAACCCCGCTTTCAATTTAAACCAACGTACCTCAGCTCAAAATGAGCTCTAGTGGGTGAAATAGAGTTAATTAGAACCCATAGATCATTGCTAATGATGTACAAGATTTTTATTTTAACATCATAAAACCCTGGTTTTATGGACCTAGAACTCACACTTTCCTTACTTTTTTTCATCAAACCCATAATTGAAAATGAAGGGAGTTAAAGAAGCGGTATGTTGTCCATAAGAGCACGATGACTTCCCAAATTACCTTGCTGTTACTTGTGGCTGCTGGGATTTCGGTTGAAATTTTGAGTTTAGTTGTAATTTTTTGGATGTTTTAATTCTAAAGACATTAGAAATTAAAGAACGGTTATAAAGAGCCATGGGTATTGGATAGCGCAGTGATTAGTAACTCCTACGTCCGACTTTCTATTAACCTCGGCATTGATTGAACAATTCTTTCTACCTCTGTTCAGCAAACACGAGGTGCTATTTTATTTCTTTATTTACGTACAAGCTGACTTTTCGGCAAATTTCGCCTTTCTCAGAGCCTGGTAAGGTCAAGTTGACAGCAATCTATTCGGCCAAACGCCTCCATAACCAAGCGGGGAAAACGCTAAACCAAGATTTCAATCACATTTAACACAGCTCCGCACACTCACCACATTTTGTGCGTCTTCCACTGAGTATGTCGCGTGAAGACCAACTGCACAGAATTCACATGGAAGCGTAATATGCCCCTTCCATCAGAATAACAGGTCTATATACTGTCCAATATCACGCGTGATAATGAAGCATTCTTTCCTGCGGTTCATTTTCGGATTTTCGGAATTAATCCAGAACGCCTCGAGAGTTTTGCGCGCTTGCGTTCTTGTTTCCTGTGCGAAGATCGTGACACGAACTTCAAAGTCCTCCCCGCTGTCTTTGGGTCCTATGCGTGCCTAGCGGGCTATTTGGTTTATGTTTGCCAGCTAGGTGTTCCTTTATGCTTACACAAAGGGTCTGCCCATTTCACCAATGTATTCGTCTCCGCACGTCTTACAGGAGATCAGATAAACTATACCCGAGCTCATGCAATCACCGTCTCTACCACTGGAGCAAATTACGCAACTTTGAGTTACACATAGACGGTCATATAGGCGGTTACGAACTAGCTGGCGCCTAAGACTACTCGGTGGTATTTCAACTACGTTTACCGAATTCTCTAGACCCACCCTTCTTAAGCAGGGTTTTATAGCTGTACTTATATCATTTGAGATAAAAGGTAGGATAAACGGGACCCTTCTATCGCTAGAGTTGTCGTTTGGAGGCCTACGATTTCCCCTACACCTATCCTGAGCTACAGTTTCGTAGCCATTAGAAATGGCTATTTGCCGTGCCAAGTTCCGGGACTCCTCTTTCTGCTCTGTTCCCGTGCACACGTTGGTTGCTGTTCGAAACATGTTTCTTATAAGCTCCCTTTTCGTGTGAGAGGGGTGAGAGGAGAGGTAATGAACCAAGATGTTTTTACTACTTGGAATGTACCACTTTGTAATGTAACCATTTTCTGACAGGTTAATTTGGACGTTCAGGAATGGAAGCCGTTTTTCTTTCGGTTTCTCTCGCGTGAACTTGATATACTCTGACCGATTATTCAGCAACTCGAAACATTTGTCTATTTCCTCTCGTGTTGAGCAAAGGACAAAGCAGTCATCTATATATCTACACCAGAGTAGCGGCCCGAGTTTAATTACCGGTGCTTCCACCTTAGACATAAACGCAGTGGCAAAACTTGGCCCCAGTCGCTGTCCCATTGCCAACCCTCCTATTTGAGCGCAGTACTTTCCGGACCATCTGAAGATTGAGCAGCTCAAGCATTCTTTTAAGAGTGCCATCAGGTGCTCTATCCTGAAGCCATACATGTTTATTTCTCCTTCGTGTTGTGTAAGGAGTTCGAATATGGCTTGCATTGCGGAGTCATTCGACACGTTTGTATAAAGGGCGGTAACGTCGAAGGGCTCCATCACGTACGCGCTGCTGGGCTGCGCAGTACGTAGACAATCCAGAAACGCCTAAGTATTCGTAAGATGGGCTGAAATGTGATTTAACAACTGGTTAAATATTAGGGTTAAAAACCACGTTATCCTATCCGTTGGTCCTTCTACACAGCTAATGATAGGTCTAATCTTAAGCAATAGTGGATCGGTAGACGCAAGATCATCTCTGGATACTAGCTTATGACTTTTTATAAGCAATTACAAGACGGGGCATGTTGGTAAGTCAAGGAGTCAGTCATGGCAGTGCTAGTGATACATTCCATCAGAAAGAGAGGCAGGGGTTTGGCCCTCTCTCAACGCTCTCCTCCAATCCACGAGGCCTTAGCTCGGCTATCTCCAAGACTGCAAGGAGATTCGGCTTGACAAGTATTTTACGACATTCATAGAGAAGGGAAAATCTTCAGGCAGCAGCTGAAAAAGCGCACTAAATGTTCGATAGCCTTTCTAGATGGTGAATGCGAAGAAAATGAATTGAATGCAAGAAGTGCTGGAATCCACACAAAAGATGTGATTATGGATTATGTAGAAAAACACAAGGAACAATGCTTAATTTCAAATGAACTAACCAAAGTGCCTTGCAAAGGGTTTCAGCCTCATCGAAGCTGGGAGGTCTTCCTGGGTGTCGGAATGCGATGCACAGCACGGTCTTCATCTCCATTACGATTTTCCAAGCTAAGAAGGAATCCAATGTTCCCACACGAAAGTCCAGCTAAAGGCTGATACCAAAAATCACCACCGGTCTGGTGTCAAACTAGTTGCACGGTGACAAATCTCTGTTTGGTCCACAAAGGCAGCAATGGTGACGGTGGTGACGATCC